GTGTGTGTGTGTGTGTGTGATAAGCTGACTTGAGTCCTTGTTTCATTTCTATATAGTAAAATGTCACTAAAATGAAAGAACTACCCAATATGCTTTATCTCTAAAACAAAGTTATTTGAAGTTATAAAACCTGAAAGAGAATGTAGATGGTATGATCATTGAAGACTGACTAAAGTTGAGTTTTCTAATCCTTGCCATGTGATAGCCATTGTTACCTTCCACACAGCTAGCAACCGCAACACCTCTAAACTTAACAATAGTTTCTTGTAAGTGCCCAAATTCGAGTATATTAGATTGTCTACATGATTTATAGGAGGTCATAAATCATGGAATATCATAATTCTGTTGTCAGCGTGCAATAATATGAAATGTGTACACAAAAGACCCTCGGAAAGCAGATGTAAATATCCAGTTGTAGCAGTATATTTATGGGAAAACAGTGTTTCCAACTGTGGTACAAGTGACTATTGTATATCCTAGATTCACTGTCAATCTTTCTGGTTAGCACACACATGCATTTTCACGTACTGCCTGCATGCTATTAAAATGTTCTTCAGCTGAGAGATGTCTGCACTCAGTAGTATGGAACTATGCACTAATTCTCTGTTGAATAAGACACGCCATTCTTTAAACCTACAAGATTGTATTCTAGTCCCAATACCTGCAGTTTATCTTCCTAACCAATGGTTAAGGGGTGTGGGATAATGTAGTACACTGGACTATAAAACTCTCTTTTCCTAATCTTAATCTGATCAGATAATGTTGTTTAATAATGTTCTTATAGCATTTAAGTAATATGAGATTTTAACTGATTGGCATTACGATGCATCACGTTTCATTTTTAAGGTGCAATGTGTTTGGAATGGTGCTAATGTTAAGAATGCCTTAGATTTTACCTCCAGTCCCTCTGTATGTCTTCATGATGCCTAGATACTGTGACAATTGTACGTATACCTTCGTATTTTTATATAATATGTCAAAAGCTATCCTGTATGTAAGCATCATGTTGCATTACTATACACAACAGAACAAAATTATTATAGACATGCTGTTGCAAGAAAGATAAAAGTTATTAATACAAATAACAATATAAATAATAAAAATAAAAAGAATACTGAATAAGAATGGAAACAAATAATGGACATAAAAACAAATTTCCTAAGAATAAATTGACAATAACTAAAGGTGACAAAGGGAAAACACTAGTGATATTGACACAAGATGAATATAGACACAAAATAAGGAACTTTATATAGGGTAAACATTTTATAAGACTAACAAAACTCCAACTTAAAAATACCAGAAAATCATAAAACAAACACTAAAACAATGTAATAACATCATATAAAAAGAACACAGATGAAAGTACACGGATATGAATGCCATAGCCCCTAACCTACATGCCACAGTAAAACTACCTAAACAGAACACACCCATTAGACCAATAGTCAATTGGAAAATGGCCCTGCTTACGAATTAGCAAAACAACTATCAAATCATTAAACAATTACTTATCTTTACCATATACATACAATATTCAGAACTTCACCTGATGACAGACCTACAAGTCATCGGGCTTAAAAAATATGAGACTCTGCTCCTTTGATATAGAAAGTATGTATACAACATACCAAAGATTGGTAAACATTACACTCAGTGGCGGCTCGTAGCTAAAATTCGTGGGGGTGCTGCTCCAGAAAATTTGTAGCCTTTGTTTTAAAATTGTATGAAAGGAAACAAACATGTATAAAAAGAAAATTTATTCAGAAACTTGATGAAATCCTAAAAGAACAAAATCAAACATTTTTTACTTACTTTAACCTAAATTGTTACAGTTCAAGCTTAATCTATTCATTTAAAAATGAAATCCATTCTTTTTAACCTTTATATTATGCTCATTGATTGAAAGTCTGTATGCCTCACTAAGTTTCTCCTTAATACTTACGGTTCCTAAAAGTGACAGTGAAACTACATTATCAACATGCTTCTTTGACTTCACATGCTTTTCAGTTTTTTCTTTCATTTTGTTTATATTTCTAAAACCATCTTTTGTCCACGTTACATCACCCCCAAACAGCAAACACAGGAAGCAAAACAGTGCATTTTTTACTTCACAGCCGCAAAGCCAACTTTTCCGTTTGTACCATTCAGAATTAAAGTTATAAATATATTTCTTGTTGTTGCTTATGCCTGGCTGAGATATTAGAATATCAGGTGTCAAACAACCTCTTTTCTTAACTGCAACTTTCTCACGGAGAGACAGTTGTGAAAACTTAAGCTGTTGAAGTTCACTTAGAGTCACAGAACTTATTTCTCGGGGATGCAAGGCCATGGTTAAAGTTTTCTGTTAAATAAAAGAACCGAAAAAAATGAATCAAATAGAATAGCTGGAAGCAGGATAATAATCTAATTCTACAATTAACTCATATTTTTTAAGCACAACACACGCGGAGTAAAAGAAAAACTACCTTCCACCAGCACGCCAGAGTCGGCACTGGTCGGCACTGGTCGGCACTGGTCGGCACTCTCGTTCCTGCAGTGCTCCCTCTCCCTTCCAGCCTCACGTGTAGCTTCCTATGTGTGCATGCGCACAGTCAACGAACACCTCGCCACTGGAACTGTGAAACTCACAGTTCCATAAAAAGATTTGGCTACTGACATTAAGTTTAAGGATTATATATTGTATTGTACAAGTATAAAGAAAGATTTAAAGAAAAAAGGACTCATTATATAAATGTTATCAATAATATCAAGTGGAAATTGGGGGTGCTGCAGTTCCGCAGTGCCTATACACGGGCCGCCCCTGATTACCATACTAGAAGATTTAGTAATCAAGACGAATATACAAAAAGAAATTATTCACATATTAAGAACAGCAATAAAATAAAATTATTTCCAGTTTGACAAGGAATATTACAAACAAACTGACAGATTAGCAGTGGGATCCCCAACATCATCAATACTAGCAGAAACATACATATACATGGAAACATATGGAACATGCATAGATATATCCCATCCTAGTAAAGCAACATAATCGCATATTTTAGATAAGTCGATGGCATACTGATAATATGGAATTTATCAAATTAAATGCCTGGATTGTCCACTAAAGTACATTAGACAAGCAGGAAGAACAATTAATACCAGATATAAAGAACTCGTTCACGACATTAAAAGTAACAATAATAATTCGGATATTCAAATCACATACTGAATACCGGACATACATATGGCACAATAGTGGACACTGTGGAAGATATAACAACAAGGAGGAAAGGAAAATATTTGAATACACTTGAAAAGAATCATATTTACAAAATCAGTAGAAGAAATCTATATATGAATGACACTAATACTGATACACACAATTCCATATTTGAAGAATTACACAAAATAACATTATACCCCCTCCCCCACCTTCTCCCTGCTCTTGACAGCCACAGCACATATAAATATGGAAGCAAGCACACCATATCTACACAAGTGAAGACAACATCACATGCTGCTAGAGGGAACAACGCAGCACAAGCAATGGGTAGAGTGAGTATAAAGTAAACAAAACAGACCATAACACTTGTAATAACAATCAAAAACAATATTAACATGGGGCATCTTGCAGATTACAGATTGCAGAGGTAACACAAGGATGATGTATGAATAGAAAAACAGGCAGCTGTAATAAAACATCCAAAGAAAAGGAAACAAATCTAAACAAGTGGATGACGCCCCTTGTGAGGTGTAAAAAGAACTTTACAGACTTTAAACAGAAACAAATTTTAATCGAAAATTTTAATAGGTTTTATTTGATTTAAATTAAGTGAACTACAGAGTGTGCTATTTTAGTGCATACCAACTAGACCACAAAGCATGCCTTTGTATGTGTAATGAATGGATAATATTAGTGCAGTGTAGCAGTTTAAGCAGAGTAAGGCACCTGAAAATGGCAATTTAAGGCTGAAACATGTGTTGAAAGTGAAAGAAAGAAGGAACAATTTTTTGCCTTGTTGACGGACTGTGTAGAACATAAACAGTTTTATATGTCAAAAGCAATTAATTCCCATTGTTACTTTTCAGGTTTACTTAAGTTTGAAGATATATCTAATAGTAAACTGTATGATTCATGCACAGTAGTGTCAATTTATCCCCGAGAAAATACTTACTAATTACAAATATACTCATAGGGTTAAAGAAATAATAATAATCAGATCATAATTTTATAGAAAACTCACACAAATTATGTAGTTGATTCGGCTGAAAATACTAGAACTCATGCAGGGTATGTGAATTTCACATTCCTGCATGAGTGTAAAATAAATACCAGTTTGAAAAGAAGTAGTAAATATTCATAAAGAGAAACAGGTAACAAATTACATACAGGATGTCTGAAAAATAATGGTGGGGTTTTAAGAACCAATATATAGAAAAATGAGAATCATATTCAAGAAATTAATATTTTATTTTGAAGTGTGCCTCAAGAGTTCTGAATGTAATTAGAAAGTTTCCACACTGTGACTCTGCAGATGCCCAGCTGATATTCCACTTCATGCCATACACACAGTAGCATACATCTTGTTATCTGCTCAACGGCTTCCGATATTCTTGCTTCAAATGATTCAGGTCCTGAATTTTGTCCATATAAATGTAATTCTTTACATAACTTTGAAAGAAAAAATCAAGCAGTGTAAAATCAAGGTTCGTAGGTGGCCACAGAATTGAACCACACCTGCCAATCCCTCTTAAGAAATATTGCAGTAAGAACTTCCATGATATATCTTCTGAAATGCAGTGGTGCACCACCCAGCTGGAAAATTATAGTGGCCACTCATGAAACTGTTTGAGCGGAGGAATGTAAAGGCACAATACTCATTATTATATTTTTTACGTATTTTGAGATAGAGCCTCCAAACACCCCATCATTATTTTTTGGACACATTGTATAAAATAGGATTGTGTATTGCAAGGGGGCTAATATTGATTTTCTTTTATATGTGTTTTAGGTCCAATTGTGGGTCCAAGCAATGAAGCACTCAAAGAAAATGTGGCTCATAATGCTGCTAGGTGTTTGTGTGGTGATCATACAGTACCACATCTCCTCCACATGGTTAGTGGGTGGATCAAACAGTGGAACTGGAAATGGACTCTCTTATGCAGACCCTGCTGTTGCTGCAGCTGTAAGGGAAGAGTTACTGCATGCTGCTATAGGTCGCCTGAGGCTGGATGACACTATCTCAGTCAGTATTGGCCAAAAACTGTTACATGATTTGATAATGCAGCTGGGCCATGAGCTGTTGGCAGTGGGAGCTTGTGGTGAAGTGTCAGTGCCAGCTGCTGCAGATTCTTCTTTATCCCAAGTGCCACTTACATCATACACAGCACCCCGCTTGTACATTATCACACCAACATATCGTAGACCAGAACAGATTCCAGAATTGACGCGTATGGCACAAACATTAATGCATGTGCAAAACCTTCACTGGCTGGTGATTGAGGATGCAGAGAATAAAACACAGTTGGTGTCTGAATTGTTACACCGAACTGGCATTTCCCATGACCATCTTGTAGGTAAGTCTACATGTGAATATCTCTTTCATGCTAAGTTTCTGGATCACCAACAGAGTTCCATGTAATTGCAATTGGAACAAATTTAGAAATCTATTGTGAGATCTGTTAATCAGAAACACTTAGACCAAAACTCTTCATGATAAATAGCCATGGACATTTATTTCTATTAAAAAACATTGTTCTTTTAAATAGTCATTTGACTGTAAAGTAAAAAGTAAAGTAAAGCTATCCCTGTACCAGGCGGTGAAGGCCCATAGGGTTGTGAGATGTTGAGGGTCCCATATTATCTAGACAATTGGCTCAAAGATGGCGGTAAGGTTGTCAGCCTTACGCGCCAGCCGCGCTTTACTCCCCAGGAAAATGATTTAATTCATTCCTGGTACTCATTGCTGTTAGAGGCTGAGTCAGCCCCAGGACCATAGTGCCACTGGTAGGATTAGGTCAATTGAAAAAATCCAGTGACCTCATCGGGACTTGAACCCGCAACCTTCCGGCTTGTAGCATAGTCCCTCAACCAACTACGCTACCGCGTGCCCCCATTCATTTGAATGTTCAGTAAAAAATTTCTTGGAATAATTTCAAGGTTGTTTTTTAAACCTGTAGTTTGCTTAGGGACCTCTGTCTCCAAAGAAACAAGCGGAAAGAATGGAAGTCAAATATTATGAATGGTTGTCCCATCCATTCACATATGTATGAATAGACATGCAACAGAAAATCAGCCCATAGAGAGCAGTGTGATAGGATCACAACTGGTATCATTGACTCTGTCATTTCATAGTAGGAGAAGTGTTAATGTATCAGTAATTTGGCAAACAGTTTGCACATGTTGGTAAACTAGCAAAAACACACACATACATCTGTCAGTTCATTGTGTGTTCTGGCCTTGGTGATGAAACCAAGCATGATAGTACTGACAAATGTGTTGTAAGAATGAAAGTACTGATAGTAAGTTACAAAAATTACCTGCATACATAAACTGGTGGGACATTAACTGAGGGTAGAAATATAGCAATTGCAGAGCAATATACATTTAATTGTCATAGTAAGAAAGAATTTAATCTTGTTGCATTATAGCATTGCTGAAACACGTTTTCACTCAGTTCAGAAAGTGCCTTTCAAGTTGTTTTTAAGTACAGTTTAACTCATTAACTCATCAGCATATATTTACTTACATCTGAGAAAATTATGAAATCCCACCCTTGTGTGTAGCAAAAACTATAGAATTTTTGGAAATGAAGATGTATGCCAGATTACTATAAAATCGGGTGATCTTTATTCTAAAACTGTATATAATGAGCTCAGTAACAAAAACAGTTCTTAGCACAAGGCAGATCTCACAAGTACATTGTCCTAGGAAAACATAAATACTCATAATATATGACAGTTACAACATAACTGCCAATTAAGAAAAATCCAGCAGGCAGTGACATTTCTGAAGAAAAATACTAGAGCAGACAGTGCTTAGCTGCATAGATAACTATCTCTTACTTACTTACTCACTCATGGAACTTAGCCCTTCTGGAGGACACCAATTCTGCAGCTACTCTAGAATTTCCCAGCATTTTATGGAACCCCGAAGGTTCATTACCGTGTTCACAAGAGTCCTCTGTTGGTCCCTATCCTCAGCCAGATCAATCCAATCCATTCCATCCCATCCTATCTCTCTAAGATTAATTTTAATATTGTCCACCCACTTACTTCTTGGTCTTCCCAGTGGTCTCCTTCCTTATGGCTTTCCCACTAATATCCTATATGCATTCCGCGTATCCACCATTCGTGCTACATGTCCTGCCCACCTCATCCTCCTTGACTTGATCATTCTAATTATACTTGGAGAAGAGTACAAGTTATGAAGCTCCTCATTATGCAGTTTTTTCCAACCTCCTGTCAGTTCATTTCTTTTTTGTCCCAATATTCTCCTCAACACCCTGTTCTCAAACACCCTCAGTCTATGTTCCTTCCATAATGTCAGAGACAAAGTTTCACACTCATACAAAAAAAATAGGAGAAATTGTACATTTACATTTAGTTTTACGTATTGCAATATTTATGTCTTCAGGCAGCAGACAAGAAGACAAATGGTTCTGAAGTGAATGGTAGCAAGTATGACCCAAATTCAGTCTCCTCTTAATTTCCTCCTGAATCAAATTTCGATTTATTGTTGGCATTCCCAAATATTTGAACTCTGCCACATTTTCAAAGCATCTGTCAGCTATGTTTATGTTTTTTATTTTGCCCTGCAATATGGTGATGAGACGACAACATATACTTAACTTCCTCTTTTTTTCACTTTTGGACCAACTTTTTTACTAGCATCAACTAACGTTTCTGTGTTTTTCTTTATGATTCCTATGAGGGTCTCTTTGGAATTTCCTGGACTGTTATTGTTGTAATAGCCTCGGTGAAAGAAGATGATGGGGGAGACCAAGGTCACACTTTCGCAAGCCTATTGCATCAGTTTGCACGTGACACCGCATTGTGAACAAGCATTGTCTTTACACGAGTGCTTTTTCAACTTCGTGTTTTGTTTTGTTCTGGATAGATGGCAAAATCGAGCAATGTGCCTGCATCAAGTTTTGCGTGACACTCAGTGAATCCACTACTGAAACCCTTGAAATGCTTCATGAGGCTTTTGGAGAACATTCTTTAAGCTGGTCAGTGGTTTTTGAATGGCATCTACACTTCGAGGCTGGGCTAGTGTCGGTTGAAGATGATGAATGTTCAGGGTAAACAATCACCAGCAAAACGACAGAAAATGTTGAAATAAATTGAGAACTCATCCACAAAGACCGTTGCCAAACAATCCAAGAACTCGCAGACATGGTTGGGATCAGTTATGGTGTTTTCCAGGAGTTCTTAACAGAAAATTTGAACATGAGCTGCATTGCCACGAAGTTTGTTCCCTGACTCTTGACAAATGATCAACAGCAGCGGCGCATAAACATGTGTCTTGAGCTATGAGAGAAGGCTAACAAGGGCCAGACTTTTATCTATAGGCTCATAATGGCGACGAAAGTTGAACTTAAGATTATGATCCAGAAAAAAAAAAAAGCAGCAATCGTCGTAGTGGAATATCCCACCATCACCAAGAACAAAAAGGGCGCAACAGGTCCGGAGTGCAACAAAGAGTGTACTCATGGTCTTTATCAACATGAAGGGGATTGTTCACCCTGAATTTGTTCCTTCTAACACTACGGTCAACTCTGACATTCACTATGATGTTTTGAGAAGATTGAGNAACCCCCTCACCACGATAAGGTGGAGACACCAACGAGGGAGTGAGAAATAATATGCGATGAAAAAGACTGGAAATTTGGAGCAAACACAACCAGCTCCTTTATCACGAGAGCGCGCCTGCCCACTCATACCTGAAAACAACAGCGTTCGTGACTAACAACAATATCGTTCCCCATCCTCCCTACTTGCTGGACTTAGCTTCTTGTGATTTTGCTTTGTTTCCCAATTTGAAAAATGAACCTGAAGGGATAACATTCTGAAACAGTGTCTGACATCCAAAGGGAATTGCAAGCAGCACTTGACAGTATGTGATCCAGAGTGCGCGGGTGTGTGTGTGTGTGTGTGTGTGTGAGAGAGAGAGAGAGAGACACACATGCACACTTGGGTCTTAGGAAATGAAGAACAAGTATCTGGAATTCTATAATGAGATTTATTGTTCAGAAAATGATCCAATCAAATGCAATATTGTCCAAATCAACATACTACTTTAGGCTGTCTGTTGTCAATTTACAAATTTTTGTTTTATTTCACAGCTCCTATGCCAGAGGCATTCAAGAAAAGGAAAGGTCCAAAGCCTCGTGGAGTATCCAATAGAAACCGTGGGCTTGAATGGCTGCGAGCCAATGCCAAGGATGGTGTGTTCTACTTTGCAGATGATGACAACACATATGATATCCAGTTATTTGAAGAGGTAAACCATCATTTTGTAGGAAATATGAGTCCCATCCCTTGCTCACTGTGAAGCCCTGCTGCAGTGATTTTCATATACGTCTTCCATATTAAATGATCCTGATTTAAAAGTTAAATGACATAGGTCTTAATTGTAAATGGAAATGTGTGGAGGGAGGGTGCAAGGATTCTGTATACACCACTGTCCTGTTAATATGTTGTGTTAGCCCTGACTATAATTCATAATATTCCTAATTTTATCTCTCTTCCTGCCAGGTTTGGTGCTACAGGATGTGAAAGATCTGTGATACTATTTTATAAAAATTAAATAAAATTTCTGAAGAGGCCTCTGATCCCAGTGCATGCACGCATGTGCATGTGTCTGATGTGTGTTCTCTTGTATTAGTGCAAATATTCAGACTGAAAAATTCCAGTCCATTTGTATAACAGTGTCACAGCATTTTGAGCTGTGCACTGAACCAGGAGGATCTCATTTCAGATAATTTTTGTAAATACAATAGATAATAAATTTCTAACATTTTATTGTACGTTATAATAAACAGCCCCAACTGTGTGTGCGCGCACGCACGCACGCACACGCACACACACAGACATACATACTCATTTCAACTTAAGTTTCTTCTCAGATGCTAAATTATAGAGTAACAAATTAAGTATTAAGTTGAAAAACACCTGAAGATTTCTACCTTTGTAGATGTAACATTATGCAGTCTGTTGAAAGTCAACTGATCTTTTGGAGGAACATGTCAATTCCATGTTCAGGGTCAAAGAATGAGCCAAGCAAGAAAGCAGCATGAAACAGATGGGTGTTTTCTTGTTTGGATCATTCTTCAACCTTGAAGATGGTGGCGACTTATTCCTCTGAAATGTTGCTTGACATTCAATGGACTACATGGTATTACATACCAGAAGATAGAACTCTTCATAACCACCACTTCAAGATACTCATACGAAAAAATACCTGTTCCAAAAAAGTGAAATATATAATAAACATAACAATTTAACAAAGACATAATAGAATGGGCTAATGAGGTTACAAAATAGAACTTTATAAGGTTTCAGTAATACTGGAATTAATAAATCACTGATAAATGCATAGATAGTATTATGTAGTGTATGGCGAGCGTATATTATCATTTTGAAAAACGAGAAAATTTGGTTGAACAACGAGGAAGTTTGCCCATTTGCACCAATATATACATATACCTCACATAGAGTTTGTCAATATTTTCAAATGCATTCACTCTCTCATGTCTAGTCTTAGTTTAGTCACATCAAAAAAAAAAAAAAAAAAAAAAATTGGTCATTTACAAATTTCCTGTTTTAACTCAAAAGCTGTTTCTTATGAAGACAGTCATTTCTGCTTACATAATTTGCAAAATATTTTTCTTTTTATCTGTAAAGAGTACTAGCTATCTGATTGAAAAGTGGTTATGTTTGGAAAGTCTAAGTGTTCAACGTGCTTAATAATGCTGTCTTCTCAGCTTTGGAAACTTATGACACTGCACTGAGCCTCATTTATTTATTTGCTTCAGGTCTTAATCAT